GAGCTCAGGGTCCCGATGCCTGCTAACAGCGTGAGCGCGGTCTGTGGGGAGAACGCGGTGCGGGTGGAGGTCCAGAGGGACCTGCTGGGGGTCGGGAAACCCGTCCTGGAGACGGACGTCTCCCTGGGGGGCTGCCCCCCCACCGGGGAGGACCCGGAGCAGGAGGTGCTCATATTCGAGTCCGAACTGCACCAGTGTGGCAGCCAACTGCTGGTGAGTCAGTTTAAACCAGGAAATACCTCTAGTTTTAGTCTGTTTAAAAGAGTTACTACCTTTAGTTTTAGTCTATTTAAATGAGTTACTACCTCTAGTTGTAGTCTGTTTAAATGAGTTACTACCTTTAGTCTGTTTAAACCTTCAGTTTTAGTCTGTCTAAACCAGGAAATACCTTCAGTTTTGGTCTATTTAAATGAGTTACTACATCTAGTTTGAGTCTGTTTAAGAGTTACTACCCCTAGTTTTAGTCTGTCTAAACCAGTGTGGCAGCCAGCTGCTGGTGAGTCCCTATAAATGAGTTATTACGTTTCATTTAGTCCGTCTAAATGAGTTACTACCTCTAGTTTTAGTCTGTTTAAAAGAGTTACTACCTCTAGTTTTAGTCTGTCTAAACCAGTGTGGCAGCCAACTGCTGGTGAGTCCCTTTGAATGAGTTATTACCTCTAGTTTTAGTCCCTTTTTAAATGAGTTATTACCTCTAGTTTTAGTCTGTTTAAACCAGTGTGGCAGCCAACTGCTGGTGAGTCCCTGAGTTACTACCTCTAGTTTTAAATGAGTTACTACCTTCAGTTTTAAATGAGTTACTACCTCTAGTTTTAAATGAGTTACTACCTCTAGTTTTAAATGAGTTACTACCTCTAGTTTTAAATTAGTTACTACCTCTAGTTTTAAATGAGTTACTACCTTCAGTTATAAATGAGTTACTACCTCTAGTTTTAAATTAGTTACTACCTTCAGTTTTAGTCTGTCTAAACCAGGAAATACCTTCAGTTTTAGTCTGTTTAAACCAGTGTGGCAGCCAACTGCTGGTGAGTCCCTTTAAATGAGTTACTACCTCTAGTTTTAGTCTGTTTAAACCAGGAAATACCTTCAGTTTTAGTCTGTTTAAACCAGGAAATACCTTTAGTTTTAGTCTGTCTAAACCAGGAAATACCTTCAGTTTTAGTCTGTTTAAATGAGTTACTACCTTTAGTTTTAGTCTGTTTAAACCAGGAAATACCTCCAGTTTTAGTCCGTTTAAATGAGTTACTACCTTTAGTTTTAGTCTGTTTAAACTAAGAAATGCCTTTAGTTTTAGTCTGTCTAAACCAGTGTGGCAGCCAGCTGCTGGTGAGTCCCTATAAATGAGTTACAACCTTTCATTTAGTCCGTCTAAATGAGTTACTACCTTTAGTTTTAGTCTGTTTAAACCTTCAGTTTTAGTCTGTTTAAACCAGGAAATACCTTCAGTTTTAGTCTGTCTAAACCAGGAAATACCTTCAGTTTTAATCCGTTTAAACCAGGAAATACCTTCAGTTTTAGTCCGTTTAAACCAGGAAATACCTTCAGTTTTAGTCTGTCTAAATGAGTTACAACCTTTAGTTTTAGTCTGTCTAAACCAGGAAATACCTTCAGTGTTTTAGCCCGGTTCTTAACTCATTGACTGGCAGCCATTTTCAGAACAGAGTCCCATACTGCCAGAGTTTTTTGAGCATTTTGACTTTTTCAAGAGCCACAGAATAGTTTGTGCCATGACTGTGTAAAGATAAATCAAGATAAAAAAAAGTTTCTACCTTATTCCGTTCTTCCTGGACTTGCGTCTCACCGGCGACATGTTCTCTCAAAGAACCGTTCCCTTTTTCTTATTTGCCTACAGTCTATGCTCATCTCCCATCAAAAGTGGCACTGCCCCCTAGAGGCTCAATTTGTTACTACATACTCTGTCTAGAAGCTGATATTTACGGACAAGCTTTAGCAGATCGTCCCCCAGACACTCTCGTTAGAAACATAAAAGACCTCTATAGACGTCTTTGGCAGCCAATGAGTTAAGCTGGAAACCTGAGAATAAACCAGAGTAGATCAAGAGTATTAAATTGACATTTAATGAGTCACAGTTAACTCGTTGGCTTCCAAAGACGTCTATAGACGTCTTTTATGTTTTTCAACGAGAGTGGCTGGGGGACGATCTGCTAAAGCATGATTTTAGAAAAAAAAGATTTAAAATTGATTTAAGTTTAGATGTCTGTTCTTCTGAACATGTCAGAATAGCTTGAAATGCTCATAAATTTAACGTTTTGAACTGTCCTAGATGACCGAGGACTCGTTCATCTACGTCTTCACCCTGCTCTACACGCCCAGTCCTCTGGGGGACGGATCCATCGTTCGAGGTCGAGACGTCTCCGTTAGCATCCAGTGTCATTACCAGAGGTCGGTTATCCTCTTTACTTATCCCCTTTCATCACCTCACTCGTATTAAACCAAGTATCCAAGGCAACAAATTATGGCACAAAATGTTGGGAAACTTCTTCTATGCAAGTTTAAAGTGTTTGTTGTTTTCCTGTTTCTCTTTTTCTGCGTCAAACTACACCCACAGTTTTCAGCCCATTTCAACTAATGAGGTATCAAAATGTTCAACACTATGCAGCTGTGACTTTTGGGGTTCAAATCTTTAACTTTTTAAGTTATTTAACTTTCAGCTTTTAATTTCTCATTGAAATGAATAGTCAAACATGGCTCCATCTATTGGTCTCTGGCATTTCAGCCCCTTCAGATTCTTGCTATGTAGTCCTATGCAGCCTCTTTGACTGAGATATAGCTCAATGATAGAGGGTTTGACTCCAGTTTGAGTCACTAGTTCAAATCCCATTAAAGTCTTCAGTTTTCATTTTGCCTTTGTTCTCCCACTCTTCAGTTCTGTCTTTTTCGACTTTTCTTTGGCTTTCTTCATTCAGCTTTTGGCATTCTCACCTCTGTTCCACAGGAGTGCCTACAGGATTTGAACACTTTTGGTGTTCAAATCTTTTAAACTTTTTAAGATATTGAACCTTTCATGCCTTTATTCCCCTCATTGAAATGAATGGAGCAAAAAAACATGGCTCCCTCTGCTTATCACTGGCATTTCAGCTCCTTCAAAATTTTCATATGAATTCCTATGAAGCCCTTGAGCCTGTGGTATAGCCTATAACTGCAAATCCAAAAGTCTCCGGTGCAAATCTTTTTGTACCTCATCTATAATTTAATGGCCTTTGACTCTTCTTTGAATCCTTTTAACTTTCTTCTTCCACTCTTTAGTTTTCAGCTCTTGAAAATTATTTCTCCTTTCAGCCTTTTCCCTTCAACTCTGTCTTTTTCCAGCTTTTCTTTGACTTCTTCTTCCTCCTCCATTCACCACTTGGCATTCTCACAGCTAGTCTTCTTGTTATGTAGTCCTATGTGGTATTTCTGCCTGTGGTATAGCTCAGTGGTAGTGTTTAATGGCTGATCCAGAGGTCGCTGGTTCAAATCCCACTCAGATCTTCTTGTACCTGGTGATTTTCAGCTTTTCAAATGACTCCTCTGTTCAGCCTTTTTTCTTCAACTCTTCTGCTTCCTCCATTCAGCTTCTGGCATTCTCACCTCTGTTCTGCAGGAACGGCCATATTCTAGTTATCTTTCATTTTAATTTTGTTTTTCTCTGAAGAAAACACGATGTGAGCAGTGGGCTGCTGAGGCCGACCTGGACTCCTTTCACCGATAGAAAACACTCAGAGGACAGTCTCCACTTCTCCCTGCAGCTGATGACCGGTGGGGCTCATTTGCAGTGGGGGAAATAAGTATTTGAGCCCTTGCTGATTTTGCGGGTTTGCCCATTTTCAAAGAATGCAACGATCTATAACTTTAATCATATGTACATTCTAACAGTGAGAGACAGAATCCCAAAGAAAATTCCAGAAAATCACATCATGCGAATTTATAAAAATTGATAACCATCTGACGAGGAAAAATAAGCATTCTTTGTAAGTGGACAAACCTGCAAAATCAGCAAGGGCTCAAATACTTATTTCCCTCACTGTATATACTTATAGTTTTTTATGTATATATCTATCTATATTATGATGAATTTTGTATATATACATATATGTACAGACATGTATATACAGTGGGGGAAATAAGTATTTGACCCCTTGCTGATTTTGCAGGTTTGCCCACTTACAAAGAATGCAACGATCTATAACTTTAATCATATGTACATTCTAACAGTGAAAGACAGAATCCCAAAGAAAATTCCAGAAAATCACATCATATGAATTTATAAAAATTGATAACCAAAACCTGCAAAATCAGCAAGGGGGCAAATACTTATTTCCCCCACTGTATGTAGTATCTCATAAAAGATGGGAAACTAAGTGTTCGATCCAAACTGTTTCCTTTACATCAGTTGTTTTTTGTTGTTTTTTTAAATCTCTTTTTATCAAACACAGAACAGAGTTACATTCTTGGCTCAAGATATAGATTTTGGTGGAATTTATAAAAACTGATAACTATCTGATGAGGAAAAATAAGCATTC